GACTTTCCTGTACAATGAAAATAAAACTACTTTGTAAAGCAACTATACTCCCATAAAAATAATAATAAAAAAAGATGTGACCCAGAAAAAGCCTTTCACGGTCTGCTTCTGTTCCATGGATGCGTCCGGAGGCTGCAGCTTGGGAGCGGGCTGTAGCAGGGGAGCCTGGGCGCCCCAGCTCGAGTCTTGCAGCTGCATCCCCAGTTATACTTTGCGGGGTTATATTACCGCGTGAGGAAAGCTGAGCACCGAAGAACTGATGCTTTTGAACTGTGGTGTTGGAAAGACGCTTGAGAGTCCCTTGGACTGCAAGGAGATCCAACCAGTCCATCCTAAAGGAGATCAGTCCTGGGGGTTCATTGGAAGGACTGATGCTGAAGCTGAAAGAAACTCCAATACTTTGGCCACCTCATGCGAAGAGTTGACTCATTGGAAAAGACCCTGATGCTGGGAGGGATTGGGGGCAGGAGGAGAAGGGGACGACAGAGGATGAGATGGCTGGATGGCATCACCGACTCCATGGACATGAGTTTGAGTAAACTCCGGGAGTTGGTGCTGGACAGGGAGGCCCGGCGTGCTGCGATTCATGGGGTCACAAAGAGTCGTACATGACTGAGCGACTGAACTGATTACCGCCTAGACTGAGGTCCCCTAGGAGAAAGGTCTGAGGCAGGGGACTTCTGCGGTCTTAATAATTTTTTTAGGGAATAAAATCCCAGAGAGAAGAGAGAAGTACGTAATAAGATAGAAGTAAGTAGAAGTAAGTAATAAGTGATAGAATATCACTTACCCTATTAAATTCTAATAAGGGATAGAAGTAAGTAGTAAGAAGCGTGAGGCAGGAAGAAGGGAACGTTAAGAGGACGATGCACATTATAAATTGGCCCACATGGAGCAAGACTACTCTGAGTTATATAAACTTCCTGCGCAGACCAGCCCTCTGGGAGAGAATGCCGGAAGAATTTTTCCACTGGCTTCTGTCTCTCAGGGTCAAAAGTTGGTCCCCTGGGATGCTCACCCTTTTGTTTTTCTGCCTCGGAATTCGAGGACGCCAGGCAGCGGCCATGTCAACAGGAAGCCCCAGCGTGGGCGGGGAGGAGGCGTGGTCTGCGCCGGCGGTCGGAGCCTTCCGCCCGTCCGCCGCCGGTCCGCCCGTCCATCCGTCCGCCCGTCCATCCGTCCGCCGGTCCGTCAGCGGGTCCACCCGTCCGCCCGTCCGTCCGTCCGCCGGTCGGCCCGTCCATCCGTCCGCCGGTCCGTCAGCGGGTCCGCCCGTCCGCCCGTCCGCCCGTCCGCCGGTCCGTCAGCGGGTCCGCCTGTCCGCCGGTCCGCCCGTCCGCCGGTCCGTCAGCGGGTCCGCCGGTCCGCCCGTCCGCCGGTCCGTCAGCGGGTCCGCCCGTCAGCGGGTCCGCCCGTCCGCCCGTCCGCCGGTCCGTCCGCCGGTCCGCCCGTCCGCCGGTCCGTCAGCGGGTCCGCCCGTCCGCCCGTCCGCCGGTCCGTCCCGCCAGCGGCGCCTGCAGCCCCTCCAGAGCCCTGGCAGAGCTGGAGGCAGAGGGAGGGGCCCGAGGGGGCCTGAAGTGGCGCACACGGGGACTCGATGCAGTCACCGGAGGGAGGAGAAAAGAGATCCTGGGGTTCACTTACCACTTCCTGCCACACCCCGTTTCCACGAATGACACCCCTATTCATCTAGTTCCAGCAAGCGAGAGACCTGAGAGGCTCCCTGACAGCTCCCTTGTCCTTAGACCTGCTTCTGATCCCACGTATCTCCGCAGTCTGCTCGCTTCTCTCCATTCGGACCCCCGTGCCGTTAATCAAGGCTCCTCTCATCTTCTCTGCGGACTGGCATCACTTAATTGAACTCCTTCCTATTCGTTTCCCACATACAACCCAAGCAGGTTTTCTGTAACACCCACTGGATCTTGTCACACACCCTGCTAACTTCAGCCCTTTGACAGCTTTCCAGGGCTTGGAGGATAAAGATGAACCGCCTCCTGGTGGCCCACAAAACCGTGTGTGGCCTGGCTCCTGGCTCCTCGTGGGACATGCCCCGCATTGCCTTCTGTTCTAGTCTCACCCGCTGACTTCTGGCTTCAGCTCACTGAAGCTCCAGGCTGCCACAGGACCTTTGCACATGCTCTACCCAGTACTGGCCAGCCTTTTCTCCTATCTGCCTTCTCATCTTGATGCTCCCAGAGAAGTTACTCTTTTCTCAGGGAAGTCTTTCTTAATTCTTAATATATGTATATATATATCTCCAGTCCTGGATTCCCCAAGAGGCAGGCTGAGTATGTATTTTGTATTTCAGGTGTTAGTGAAACACGGTCACTCCTAATTTTTTGTAAGATGCTCATTTCAAAGAAGTCATCATGGGAAAGACAAGACTTTTGAAATTTCACTCTCCTTATCTGTTTTTTGTTTGTTTGCTTTGTTTTGGCTGTGCTGCAGACTTGCAGGGTCTCAGTTCCCCAGAGACTGAACATGCACACTCAGCAGTGAAAGCACAGAGTCTTAACCATCAGACCATCAGGGAATCCCCCAATACTTATCTTTTGATTCTGTTTGTTTTTATTCCACATTGGTTTTCGGGACTTCCCTGGCACTCCAGTGGTTAGGACTTGATCTTCCAGTGCAAGGGGTGCGGGTTCCATCCCTGGGTGAGGCGCTAAGATCTCATATACCTCTCGGCCGTAAAACCAGATGTAAAACAGAAGCAATACTCAGCCATGTCCAACTCTTTGCAATCCCACAGACTATGGAAGCAAGTCAGTAGGTCCAGCCCATGTTTAAGAGGTGTTGTTTGCATTCTAAGTCACTTCAGTCGTGTCTAACTCTTTGTGACCACATGGACTGTAGCCCACCAGGTTCCTCTGTCCATGGACTTTTCCAGGCAAGAGTACTGGAGTGGGTTGCCATTTCCTACTCCAGGGGACTTTCCTGACCCAAGGATTGAACCTACATCTCTTGCATCTCCTGCATTGGCAGGTGGATTCTTTACCACTGTGCCACCTGAGAAGCCCAAGTAACAACTTCAATAAAGGCTTTAAAAATGGTCCACATCACAAAATCTTTAAAAAAATGATTGTGGAGGAGGTCATAATCTTTTCAGTACTTAAAGCCTCAAGGAATCAGGATCTAAACTCTGGCTGTGGAAATAATTCTTCCACTTTTGCAGGTTTGCTTTTTTACATCATTAGTTAGAAATCTGTCTAATTTAGAAATCTGTCGGTTAGACAGGTTAATCTGACAGTTAGAAATCTGTCTCCCCCTCAAGCCTCTCAGTCTTTTTTTTGTCTTTCCTTCCTTTCTTTCTTTCTTTTCATCCCTCCATTTTCCTTCCTTCTTTTCTTTCTTTCTTTCTGTCTTTTCCGAAAGCCCGGCATCTCTACATCGATGCCACATCAAATCCTGCAGACAGAGGTGTGGGTGAAGTGCAGAGGGCGGGCTTTACAGCTTTGCCAGGTAAGGGAGACACACCAGGCTCCTGCTTCCGAAGACTGTGTGTCCCCAGGCTCCTGGTCTTCTGAAGGTAGAGGCCTTGACAGTGTTCTGGCTCACAAGTGAACTTAGCGTAGCGTCTCCCAAGGAGGGGAAGCCCAGGAAACCTTTGCTGAGTGAGTCGCGAGAGCGCAGAACTCCGGCCTGGCTCGGTCACCCACGAGCTTTGTCCGACACCTGTCTGTGCTGGAGATCACTCCTCATCTGAGCGGCTGGGGCCCGAGAAATGGGGAAAGGTATTTCTAGAAAGAGGAAAAGAGGAAGGCATGCACACCTGTTGATATGTCGTTAATTAAATCTCTATGTGGCTAAGACTGGAATAGCTAAGAGGGGTTATGAAAAGTGAAGTGAAAGTTGCTCAGTTGTGTCCGACTCTTTGTGAACCCATGGACTCCATGGAGTTCTCCAGGCCAGAATACTGGAGTGGGTAGCCTATCCCTTCTCCAGAGGACCTTCCTGATCCAGGAATTGAACTGGGGTCTCCTGCATTGCAGGTGGATTCTTTACCAGCCGAGCTAGAGGGGTTATGGGTAAAGAATTTTTCTAGATTCACACTTCTTGCTTGGGCCCACTCGATTGTGCTTCTGCCTGTTTTTTCATGCTACAAATTGGTGGGTGTAATAGGAGAGGTTTCAGTACGAATTTGATGAAGAGAGAAGATGCTGATCAATTCTCAGTTATATTCTCCTAAAGGCTGGATGGTTCATGTAGGGTGAGTGGAGGCTGGCATTGCTGTTCTGTGAGTAGCCACAAGGTGGCGCTGGGTGCCCAGTCATGAGACTTGCCTCAGGACTAACCCTTCAACCTTTTTTAAGCGCCAGTTTGTTTAACCGAGATTCCTTAGTCTCTTTCCAGTCCATAATTTTCTTTAACAAAACAGAGTTATGCTTTTCCTTTTCATGGGTATCTTCAGAGAATGACATGCTTGTTGAAGAGTCATATCGAGGATGATTCAATGTCTCTGGGTTTTCTACGCAGGCATCTTCCAGAGAGAAAATGGTAGGAACATTTCCTTTCCTATATGGGAGTCATAAAATGATATGGGATAATTGCAGCGCAATATAACCACATTTCAGGAGAGAACGCATAGCTCAAGACTCTGAGCTGCGTGTCGGGGCCTGGCACTTGACTCTCCAGGAGACTGGAGGCCTGAGCTGAGCTGTAAGCCACGGTCAGGCCTGGAATCATCAGCTGGTTTGACTCTGAGTTCTCTTCGCTGGACTTTCCCGTTGGCACGCGTGGTGAAGAATCCGCTTGCCAATGCAGGAGACACGGGAGACGTGGGTTCGATCCCTGGGTCAGAAAGATCCCCCTGGAGGAGGAATTGGAAACCCGCTCCAGTGTTCTTGCCTGGAGAATCCCACGGACAGAGGAGCCTGGTGGGCCACAGTCGGTGGGTTGCCAAGAGTCCGACATAGCCACTGAGCACGCATGCCCCTCTTTGCTAAGGAGTCTTAGCACAGCCCCAGGGTTGGAAGATTCTGGCGTTGGCGATTCCAAGATTACTTGGGAGCCGAGAGGAAGGACAGGTCTGCCTTTCCTGAGCCCCCTGGCCGCCCAGCTGAGAGGAAGGACAGGTCTGCCTTTCCTGAGCCCCCTGGCCGCCCAGCGGGTGGCGTCTCCGCCCAGCGGCAGAGTTTACAGAAGTCAGGCGGGCTCGGAAGGTGGAGACTGAGTTCCAGCTCGCGTCCACCAGAGGGCAGCATGGCACAGCCGCCAGGGGGCTTTGCCGCTGCCCGCCAGGCCCCCGCAACCCGTAACTCAGGAGGTCGCTCTGCACTCCTGTGCGGCTCTGCACGGTCTCCAGTGCTCACGTCCATCTCCCCAAAGAGCCCTGGGCCCCCGCAGTCACAAAGGTGGGAGACGCTGCAGCACCTGCCTCGGGCCTTCCTGGCAAAGATCGCAGCCCTCGGATACCTGTGGTGCCCCTGGAGCTGATGGGAAAGGCATCAGTGGCGCCCTGTGGCGTCCAGACAGGGACCCGTCTGTGCTGGCACCCAGCAGCTGACTGGCCCACTGGCAGCTCCCGAAGCCGTGGGCAGGTAGGCCAGCTACCTTTCCTGGCCGGAGAAACTAAGAAAGTGTCATTAAAAAAAAACAAGGAAAAAAATATGACTTTGTAGATTGTTCCGAAAAGGAGAACTTCACAGACTCTATCAGTTCAGTTCAGTTCAGTCGCTCAGTCGTGTCCAACTCTTTGCGACCCCATGGAGTGCACCACGCCAGGCCTCCCTGTCCATCACCAACTCCCAGAGTTTACTCAAACTCATGCCCATGGAGTCGGTGATGCCATCCAGCCATCTTATCCTCTGTTGTCCCCTTCTCCTCCTGCCCCCAATCCCTCCCAGCATCAGGGTCTTTTCCAATGAGTCAGCTCTTTGCATGAGGTGGCCAAAGTACTGGAGTTTCAGCTTCAGCATCAGCCCTTCCAATGAACACCCAGGACTGATCTCCTTTAGGATGGACTGGTTGGATCTCCTTGCAGTCCAAGGGACTCTCAAGAGTCTTCTCCAACACCACAGTTCAAAAGCATCAATTCTCTAGCACATAGCCTTTTTCTTTTTTAATGAATTTTTAAACATTTTGTGAAATTACATGGGGAAGAGCATTTCCGTGTGTGGGCCGTGCCCGACGCACTTTACTAATCACTTTGGTTGATAAGTTTCACCTACTACTAGTGGTTGCATTTGTGTGGCTCTTAAGAAGAGAAGTCCTTCCCTCTCAAATCTACCTGTGGCCAAAAAATCCCCAAGTCCTCTCTATAGGCCAGGCCTGGGTCCAGACAGCTGCCCCTGTTTCCTAACAAGCACCTCTATTCTGACACCCCTCAAAGATGCCGTCGTCTCTTTTTAATTATGTATTTTTATTCATTTGCTATTATTTTTGGCTGTGCCATGTGGCTCGTGGGATCTTAGTTCCCTGAGCGAGGATCGCACCCAGGCCCCCTGCACTGGGGTGAAGACTTAACTACTGGACCACCCGGAAGGTCTCCAGAGTGATCATTCTAAAGCTTGGATCTGACCCTCTTAGCTCAGTGCTACCCCATAGGAATATAATAGGAATGACACGTGTGCTTTTACTTTCTCCAGTAGTCACACTAAAAAAGTGACGGAAACGAGTGAAGTTCATTTTACTGCAGACTTTATTTGCCTCAATGTATCCAAAGCATCAGTTGATGTGCAATCAATATAAAAGCTTACCAATGCGCTATCTGACATGGCATTTTTATTTATTCATCAGCAGCTCCACTTGGCATTTGGGACCTTTGTTCCCTGGCCAGGGATTGAACCCACATTCTCTGCGTTGGAAGGGCAGAGCCTTAACCATTGGACCACAGGGAGGTCCCTGTTGCATTGTATTTTATCCTGCAACTTATCCTCATTCACCCTGGCCACCCTTCAAGTCCTTGAAGTGCTGTAGCAAGTGGGTAATGCACCGGTCCAGCTCTTCAGCGTCTCTTTTTTATTTTGTTTTATTTGGCCATGCCCCTTGACTTTTGGGATCTTACTTCCCTGAGCAGGGATTGAACCCAGGCCCCTGGCAGTGAGCGCAGTGAGAGTCCTATCCTCTGGACTGCCAGGGAATTCCTCGATGTCTCTGTAATGGCAGTACGTGGTGACTGACTTTCCCAGCCTTATCTGTCTTTAGCCCCAAGACATTTGCTGCTCTTTCTTTCGCATCTCTGTACTTCTGCCCACGTCTTTTCGCCTCCCTGGCATTGTCTCCAAGTAGCTGATCACTACTGTCTTGTGGAACCTCATACTAACCCTGTAAGGTAGATACTAAAATGACTCCCATTGTACAGACGGGAAAACTGAGGCTTGAAATGATTGGGTGGCTCACCCAATGGCAACACAACACGACTGGTGAGCGGTAGCTCTGGGCTCTGAACCACTCTGCTCCATTGAAGGAAGCCTGTGGATGGAGCAGGTATGCTCCAGATGGGACCGGAAAGCGCTTCCAGGGCAGGAGTGAGTGTCTGGTCAGCAGAGGTATTCAAGAAGCTGCTGAATGATGGCCCTTGGACCGAGGTGCCATGGAGGACATTTCTGCACATTACCTACTTGCCACAGTCGGTATCAAGCACTCGAAAGGTGGCCAGGGCGAATGAGGTTGAGCTGCGGGTATAAAATACAACATGAGGAGGATTGCTCTCCCTACAGTGTGAGGCGCATGTGGCTTCTATGTAACAGACGGAGGATGTGAACCCTCAACTTAGACTCCAGGGTTGGGGCAGGGTGGCAGGCTGACGGCGCTCTGAGCAGCTCTGAGACCCTGGGGTGCCTTCCCACCCTGGGACTGGGGGACGGGCTGCAGGCAGCCTGGACAGGCAGGGCTAGCTCGGGCTCTGGCCTGGGGTGGGGGGAAAGCCTTGACTTCCTCGTCAGTGGCTTGAGGCTCCCGTCTCTGACTGCGTTGGTCTCTCCCCTGGACGGCCGGGCCACACATCCTCCCATTGTCAGCGCCGGTCCGGCACCTCTGTTAGTTTAGACTCACTGTAAATATTTTTGGCAACACCGAGCGGCTCTCCTGCAGGCCGATGGAGCGGGGCGTGAGTGGAGGTCCGGCCCGGCCGCCCCTTCCTGCCCTCTTTCCGGGCCCTGCTGTTTCCTGTCCTGCTGTCTCCTGCTCGAGGCCCCCTCCCCTCCGAGCCTCACAGAGGGGCTTCCTCTGGGTGCGACCTCCAGGGATGGGAGGGGGAGGCCCAGGAGGGCAGGGGCTGGGGGCTGGGTCCCATGGGGAAGCCTGGAGGCGCTCCTCTTCCCTCCCCCGGCCTCACTTTCCTCCTCGGCAAAGTGGAGTGTGCACAGCGGATAAGCGGCTGCAAGCTCCTCACCAGCAAAGGCCACTCTGCCCGCTTTCCTGCCCTCCCCTCACTAAGGAGTTATCACTTTGGAGGAGTCTGTTTATCCAGCCCACCCCATCTGTTCAGTAATGATGGATGCGTCTTCCCAGCTTTTGTCCGCCAGGGCGCCCTGGGCGGCATGGAGTCACCAGCGGCAGCGTCGAGGCATGAAATCCAAGCCCAGCAGGCAGAGGCGTGATCTCCTTCGGGGGCGGCGGGCACCAGGCTTTATGAAGCCCGATGCTGGTCCCGGAGACTTCCTCTCCCCCGTTACCTGTCCTCACAGGGCCCCTGGCCTCAGCTTGGGGATCAACGGCCTCAGCACCATTTAGGAGTCTTTCCTCTTGGAAGTCATGGGAAACTGGCCTTCCGTCCAGGTGGTCTTGAGGAAAGCCCTGGGCACCTCTGAAGGTATAGAAGTGGTGCTCCTTCCGCCTGCAGCCCTATCGTCCCTGCATATTTACTAGTGATCTGTTAAGTCTAGGGTGGATAGCAAGGAGATCCAACCAGTCCATCCTAAAGGAAATCAGTCCTGAATATTCACTGAAGGATTGAGGCTGAAGCTGAACTTCCAGTACTTTGGTCCCCTGATGGGAAGAGCTGACTCGCTGGAAAAGACCCCGAGGCTGGGTCTTTTCAGGGAATTAGGGAAAGATTGAGGGCAGGAGGAGAAGGGGGCGACAGAGGATGAGATGGTTGGATGGCATCACCGGCTCAATGAACGTGAGTTTGAGCAAACTCAGGGTGACAGTGAAGGACAGGGAAGCCTGGAGTGCTGTAGTCCATGGGGTCATAAAGAGTCAGACATGACTTAGCGACTGACCAGGTGTAGGGTGCTGTGCTCAGTCATGGGGGAAGTGGGTAGTGATGGGTAAGGAGGTGAGAGAGGCGGGTGTGGAGATAAGGAGAGGCTTCCAGACCCCTCTTCTTACTGACAGTCTAACCAACAACCCATTAGATGGGGTTTGGTTCCATGACGGGAAAGATGACACTGCCCATCACTGACTTCTCCACCCAGAGAGTCAGTTTGCTTCCTTCTTTTGACCTTTTTTTTTTTTTTTACAGGAAATCCACTTCTCCAATCACCTCTGGGAGCCACTGCCACAATCCCCAGAGTTGCAGAAAACTAGTGCCTGCTGGCTCAGCATCCTCACAGACCAACAGGGAAACTGAGGCTCGGAGAGGGGAAGAGCCTTGTCTAGGGTCACAGTGCGCCAGTCATTCAGGCTTCGGCCAGAACGTTGGTGCTCCTAGGAGGGCCCCAGGTTTCGGTGGTCTACCTTGTCAAAAGCCCACCGTTTCCTTGTGTTTCCTCTATCATTGTCCATAACTTTCTGATCATTGCATTTACTGACGACTTATTTATTTTGTCCGTTTCCTGCCTCTAGAAGGTATGTTCAGGGGATCAGGGATGCGGTCTAAATTGTTCACAGTATAGTAGCTGCTCAATAAGTATTTGCTTATTGAGTGAATGGATTCATGATCAAGATGAAATTGGTCATCTTGGAACATGAAAAAGCTCATGTTTTCTGGCCCCTAGGCCAGTGGGTTTTCCTGCATTTGCTCTCCCGAGATCCCAGGACATCCAAGAGTCCTGGAGTCCTGGCTGGGGCTTTGAAGGAGCACCAAATGGCCAGGGGGGAGAAGGGGCCCTTGAGGATGGGGGTCCGCTTCAGTGACCAGAGGCAGCTGGCCATTTGCTGTGGTCAGATAAGCCGAGACGGGCTCCCCGCCCGCTCCCCCACCCCATCCGCCCCGCTCAGAGGCTGCATCCAGCTGTGAGGAGTGCAGCTGGTGCCCGAGGGAAGGGGGCAAAGGCCCCACGGCCCGGGTGGGTACTGACGCTGGTGCCCGAGGGAAGGGGGCAAAGGCCCCACGGCCCGGGTGGGTCCCGACGCTGGTGCCCGAGGGAAGGGGGCAAAGGCCCCACGCCCGGGTGGGTCCCGACGCTGGTGCCCGAGGGAAGGGGGGCAA